ATTATCTTGACACGATAGTCATTGGTCTCAAATTTGAATCAAAAATCACCTCAGCACGATAATCAAACTAATCAAAATAAAAAATTAACGTCAAGATGACAAAAAAGAGTTAATAAAACGAAGCAAAGAATTAACGACTGAAAATTTTAGTAAAATCCTGTCCACGTTCAGAGAGAGTTTTCATATTTATTATATATGGAGAAAAGAAAAAAAACAAGAATAAAGACTAAAAATTTTAGTTCCAAATTCGAACCCGTACCGTATAGAAGTCAATGTCATCCATTGTACAGTTACCTCTGAAAATTAGAAGTAAAAGACATTCTGAATATTTTGTAGCCGCGAAAAATAAACATAACTAAAAAGACACGCTGCTACAATACGAGTTTCGTGGTGCAGATTCTGCAAGGAGATCCTCGGAAATTGATAACATATCCCTTCATCGAATGCCACGTGCTATGCATTGTGAGGGTATCCTCAAGCCACGTCCCCATAACATATTTTCATTCAACAACATTGGATGGGATGAAAGTTTTGCAGTCAAAAACCAACAACTAGCCTCACAATGAATGGAAAATGAATAGCAAGTGGAATAGTCACGTCACATAAATAAATCGTACACGCATAGCAGTAGATAGCAAAACAGTACCATCCTAACTAATCACGATTTTACTTGGCATATTGTAATTGATCGAGGATAACTATCCGCATTTCGCACATGGCTCAAAATTTTCACTTTTAATACATAATATCAATAAATATCATATACAACTTATACCACGTAGTTGTACTCTAATACTACACTATAATACCTCAAATTACTGAGCCTACCTAGCCCATAATTTCAGGGGAGATTCAATATTATATCTAATATAGTCTCAAATTATTTATAAAAAACTCATATATAAAATAAACTTTAAAAACACACCGAAACTCATTTACAACATAAAGGCTTTTAACTTTTTTATAAATTACAAAACTGTTATCTATTTCTTAAAACAAGCCCAACTCCAAAACCTTATTTAAATGGTGTAAAGTTTATTTATATCATTAGTGTTAAGAACTGGTATATGACTAAATATCTCTAATTTCATCATTCCTCTTCTTTTTCTTTATACAAGCAATATTAAAAGATAGAGGAATCACATACAGAACCACCAGGAGGGTAGAAATAAATGTTTCGTCTGAAAAAAAAAATGTTGTGAATAATTTGAGCTACAAAAATCTTGTAGCCATTTCCTAGTCCTTTAATCAACAATCCACATGAAAATTACCAGATACTGTTTATATTCTTTCACTGATATTGTACTTGGTAAGGACTAGAACGTTTCAAATTTGTATTTAATTCTTTTGAACATAGGTTTTAAAAAACAAACCCGAAATTCCCAAGCGTTTGATCCGAAGAATAATTTCACTACTGGTTTATATTTCAACAAACACTAAACAATGTCCAAACCTAAATAACTTGTATGCCACTTTCTTCTCATCTTTGCGGGTGTAAGTGATGTAACTAAAATGGAAAGAGAACAAGTATTGGAAATACCTCTACTTATTCACGCAGTGCAAGTTGAGTTTTCAGATGCACCAGTATAGGTGAAGTTTTGAGTTTACTATATATGCTTTTAGGATATTTACCGCAATGAAATTCTAATCCAGCAAATTATTTCATCAGAACATATTATTGAATTTATGTCGGGGTGAAGAGAAGGCAAAACCTAATCTCAAGCGTGATTTCAATTTCCTGTGCCTACAATTCCAGGTATCTATCAGAGTCAGCAATGAAGATTTAACATACCAAATGCACTGGAACGACAACGGTCTTAATTTAAGGAAGACTGATGGAGGTAAAAAACAAGTTTCCTCAAGCAGTACCAAATACCAAATGCTAAGAGATGCTCGGTGCGAATTCGATAGCCAAAACCACCTTCTGTGAAGGTCAGTGACTCGAAGAACCAAAGTATCCCGCAACCAACAGCTGCAGTGTAAGAAGTGCCCTTACAATGCACCAAGTTCAGGCCCCTGAAATTAAAAATCATAGAAAAAGCAAGAACTGGTCAATTTTCAATCATAACAAAAAAAAAAAAAAATAATGCAAGGAAATTAACACAGGAGAAAAGATCACATTTTCAGACTGTTACTTTACATTGGACGAAAAGGGGGCTCTAGATACAATGGGAAACCAGTACTAGAATTTCAATATTCTATGACAAAAATAGAAGATGCATGCAGGTAAATTTCACTTTGATCTCCTGCCATCTAACAGTGACAAGTCCCAAGTTCCCAACCATTTGAGGTCAGCTACATGAATCTCAGTTCTCTGTTCCATCAAATCGTCGACTATATTTTCATAAGTCATACAGAATTACATCTTTCAACTATCTGTGATTTTCCACCATGTTAATTTTAGTCTTCCGCTGCCCCCCAACCACTGGCATCTATGTTGCTTACATCACTCTTTCTAACTGGTGCATCTATTTGTCTTTGTTATACTTGGTCCATATCAGAAACATGAAACCAGAACCATCAAGGAAATGATATTAATCTCTCTCTAACATATAGCTTGTCTTGTAATGCGAAGTTTGTGAAACACTAAGCATTATGATTAACTTAGACGCATGAAACATCTAACATCTGAAATACAAGAAAATATATAACCAGCAGCACCAATCATCAAACCCCGCAGTTTCGATGAAGTCAACATAATAACAACAAAGATTTTTTAAACATGTGCAGTAACATGAAACTGAACACTGAAAAACAGATCATTTCAACTGCTGATACGAAACAATACTCACTTTTGTTCTGTGCATGCCACGTGTGTATACCATTATACCAATTCCACTGGAAAAACAGAGCAACAAGACGAACCAAACCAGCAGCAACCACTTCAACAAATGCCATAACAAACGATCTCTGAGGAGACATCCCAGCAGTGGCAATAGACAGCAACGCCCCTTCAAGGTTACAAGGCACAATAAAAGCAGCAGACTTGATCCCCCCAAAAGCCTTCTTTGCTACTTCTTCAGCTTTCATCACCCCTGACGACTCTGCTATAATGCTAGTCAGTTGCGGCCGTTTTTTCGTCTCTACAAAAAGAAGTGAATATCAAAATCAGAGTGGATGAAAAATCAAATCCAATTCAATCAAATCAAGCAAATCTCACATGGAAAGTAAACAACTTTATTCACATTTTACCTTCAGTGAGACCAGGGGTGTCTGTGTCCGGAGGGAATATAAGAGAAACATGAATATCATGAGATATCACCTCTTGTTGCAGAGCTTCGGCCAACCCACGAAGCCCAAACTTGCTCGCAGAGTAAGCTGTGTAGCCGTAGATACCAACTTGACCAGCTTGGGAAGACATGAGAGCAATCGAACGGGGCATACCATCTCCTTTCTTCATTTTGGGCAAAGCAGCTTTGATCATGTTGAAGCTGCCAATCAGATTTACGTCCACCATGAACTTCACCTCATCCAATCCCTGCTTCTCGAGTTCTTCAGGGACGAAGACCCCTTGGTTGACAATCAGCACATCAATGGGGCCTGCCTCCTCCACCGCTTTTGATACCGCATCGTAGTCACGAACGTCAGCAGAGAAGATCGACACGTCAATGCCTGTGGAGAGTTGGATGTAGTTCTTTGCTTCCTCGAGGCGGCGTGAGGGGCCAATCCCAGCCCGATTCCGCTGGAACCTCCGGTGATGAACACGTGGCGGTTCTTGATTGGGATCTTGACAGGGCGGGGCCGGACTATGAGGTAGAGGATGAGAAGGAGAGCGAGTGGGGGCAGGAGGAGGAGGAGAAGGGCGAGGAAAGAGAGGTTGAAGTATGCCATTGACGGAGCTTTGAAAAGGTAGTGCAAATGAAGGCTGGTGATGTCTCAATCAAAGCTTCTGTGAAGTGCCTATCAATTGATATCCCCCCATCTATCTACACATAGAATAATTCAAATTAGAGAAAGTCATAACGAGAGTACAATTTTGAAAAAGAAAATTGAGCAACAATTGGATGGAAATCAACTTGGACAGAGGTTTTCATTCATTCAAATACAATTGACTTTGCATCCATGATGAATTAAATAAAAAATCTTTTGATTTTCCGTTGAAGAAGAAATAGAAGCAAGTAAACCCTAGATGGATGGATGATGGATCCATTAACTAAATCAATCCATGAGTAAAAATGAAAGTCTAAGGAGGGAGGGAGGCTATAAATTACCTTTTTAAACCCCAATCAATCGCCCTCAGCTTAGAAAGGGAACCAAATAGTTGGGTGAGATGCACCAAGCATGTCAACTTAACTGAGAGAGAGAGAGAGAGAGAGAGAGAGAGAGAGAGGAGACGGCCACGGAGATGACGATTTGGGAGAGTTGTTCTGTTTTAGTCTGATCTGACGTGGACACAATAACACAGGTGTCTTCTTTCTATTGGCTTGGGATGCCATCTCAGTACTAACGATGTACCAGAGCCCTTTTTTATTTCCCCTTTGCTATGGCATGTAGTGGAAAAACAATAAAATAAATTGTTATGACAGGCACTATTCGCGTTAATAACCCCATAGCACATGGGGTGAAAATGCTCTTAGTGTTGAGAAACCGAACCAAACCAAACTGACAAAATTACACCGGCCGCCGAATCAACGTCGTGGTAACTTGATTTAGCATAGGGAGGACCATGGAAGAATAAAAAAACATGTGAAAGAGGCTAATAAATTAAGCAGTCGCCCATATGCATGTGTTCATGCAAAAAGTTATCAATTCATTGTAATTGTAATCATTTGATATTAGACACATTGATAAAGTTCAATACTTCATTTGAATAATTAAATCTGGGAGGGTAGATTTGTTGGAATCCCTCTTTCTTAGATAAAAAGAAGAAAAGAAAAGTATATTAGTTCATTTCAACAAATCTAAGGAAAAAATCACAATTAATAAGCTCATTCTAATTTTTTTTTTTTATCAACAAAATAACGCCTGAACTTTTGAAATCAAAGAATGAATTCCACTTCGATAAATTGAAGCATTTTTTTTTTCTATTAAAAAAAAAGCAATAAAAAACGCACGCAACTAAAACAAGGAGAATCGTTTTTTATTTTTTGTTTTTTTGAGAGATTTACTATTATACACAATATATGAGCACAAATTATAACAAAATCCTATATAAAATAGACTTTAGAAACACATCCAAAGTTCGTTTACAACTTAACAAAAAGACTTTTAATTTCTTATAAATTACAAAACTGTCATCGATTTCTTAAAATAAATCCAACCCCAAAACCTCATTTAAAAACCCAAAACACTCAATATAGTATCAAAATAATTTAATAATCAAAATTAAATTCAATAAGACTAACTGTCATTTTTTTGAGTTTTTTTTGGATTTGTTTATAAAAATTAAATGATGTAGAATTTATCTAATCATTAGTGCTAAGAATAGGTAAATATCTTTATATTTCTTTTTTCCGGTTGAATGAACAGTTTGACAAGTGTTTTTTACCATAAAGAATGTAGTTAAATATTTTAAGAGATATACATCCGGTAAAAGCATTTCCTAGGGCAATGTTAGCAAAGGCCATAATATTGAGACTAAATGCTTAAAATTATATCATAACAATCTTTTTTACTTTCACATCCAAAGGTAAGAATGCAACCAAAGTGAAACTACAAATATTTCAAAACTGCAGTGCACAACCTGATATTCTAATCATGTATGAAGCTCTTATCACAACTGTATAAAATTTTCAATAGACCAGCTTTCACTTCGTTCCAACATCTAACATTCTAGCCCAGAATACAACCCTCCGACAAAATCCAGAACAGAAATATTCAATGGAGACAAGCCAAGACTCTAACAACGTTTGCACATTTAAGTAATAGTACTTGGGTGACCATTTATTCAATACTGTGAGCAAAACCAACTCCCTGGATGTGACTTCCGGCATGTACAAGGGTTGCGGTCACTTGGGCACCGCTCATTCAAAACATCCACATCTGATCTTCACTCGCTAGGACAAGCACACAGATACATGATTACAAATCTTGCTTGAGAAAACGGCAACTATCGTCAAGTAGTTCCCATCTATCATATCCGAAGTTTTACTTTTACAGTGGATCCATGGATTGAACCTCCATTAGGTTCAACAACCAAGGATGAGATTGCAAAGCAGCTTTAGAAAGACCTTCGATAAGGAAGTTCAATTGACTTCTATATATGCAAGCAGAACATGAGTCCCTTGTTCTGCTGACCCAAAATTTATCAATGCAAAACTAGTGTTACTTAACAAAAAGACGCTAATTTCGGAAGTTCAGCTGTGTATCCCGACCATGCAAGAGTAATGTAGGAGAGGTAAGGGGTAGACCTGAGTAGAACTAATGAAAGAAAGGGAAGGGGGAAGGCACGGGATAGAGGATTGATCAACTCATCAACCCCATCATGACCTGAAGATTGCGAGTTCGAATCCTGTCCCAACCAGACCAAATCACTTTAAATGTATTTTGAAACCAATGGTGCCGGACAAGCTTCTTTTAACCAAAAAATATACAGCGAAAAACAGCAATATCTTAAGTTCATTGTCTTACCTCCATTCCACGAAGCCTATAAATTATTTTGTGAGAACTATCAACATCCTGTAATCAATGAACTTTGTTTCACTCATGGGTATTAAGATTATGATATTAGAGTTGGTAACTGAACATAAACACCAGCTCCACCACACCATTATTCTATATTCAGCTACAAGCTCTATACCCATGGCCAGATTACCAACTTTTATATTAAGAAGCATTTACTTGAAAACTGATCACAGCTCCTACTTCAAAACTCTAAAAAACCTAACAATAGATTTTCTATGGCCTCACAACCTGCATCACATTACCTGCCAAAAGGACTACAGTAAACAATAAGATCATGTTATCATCTAAAGCGAATCGTAAGAAGTCTGATGTTTCACACAAAAATATCATGACTCATAGGGCACCATTCAGTACCATTTAGAGCTGACAAA